CCCTCAGCTTTATACAGACAAAGCAAATGTTGAAGACAGACGAGATCCTACAGTGTTGCGAACTGTTGAACAAGAAGCCAGAACAACGTCTGCCATCCCAGGTTCCATTTCTTCCGAGACTGTCTTCCGAGGTGAAAAAAGTGTTGTTTTTTCTAAAGGGGATGACATGGAAATTACCGAGAATTATACAGGTGTAATCTCTAATGACAGTACCAAAGAAATGAACAGTTCATGTCATAACACTGTTGAAAAGCCGGTTAGTGCAAACACTTCCCTAGCAGCAAGCAGACATCCAGCACATGGTGACAGGGACATTACACAGAGTCTAACAGCTTTAGGTCATCGAGCTTCTGTGTCATATAAAAATAGTGCAGTGGAACCATCTTTGGGCTCAGATGAACGAATGGAAACAGTGACCCAGGATCACGGCACTGCTGCAGTGAATGTTGGTTTTGATTCACATACAAGTTTGGTGTCTACTGATGTTTCTAAGAGCAAGCTTCAGCACAGACTAGCAAACTCTCAACTTGTTTCTCTGCCAGGTGAGAAGACAGTGATATCCTTAGAAGATATGGACTTGACTAAAGCTTGTGTTGTCCAGGATGATGGAAAGAATGTTGAATCTGAATCTCCTGCTGGAGCGTTCACCTCTGTCGCCTGCAAACCTCATTTTCTTGGTAACAGATCTACATCTGCCAATTTAAATGATCAGGAAGAAATGGAAATGACTAAATGCCACGCTGTTGTCATTGATGATCAACGCAGTGAGGTGACTGCAGAAGCAAAACAAATGCATTGTAAAATAATTCCAAGAAAGAACCAGAACAAAAATGTCACTGAAGGTGCAAATTCTTTAGATATGGAGAAGGAAAATCTTGAGGTGATCAATATCGATGGGAATATTAAAAGAAGCCAGGCTATAGAAATGAATACTAAAGGTCTTGAGAGGATAGTGGTGGATAAGAAGCTTGGAAAAGCAAACTTGCAGGCAAGTGGTCCAAGTTCCTGTGCAAACAGCATGTGTTCATTGCAAGAGCAAAAGAGAGAAGCCCCTGAGAATATTGTCACCGACACCTGTGCATTCATGTCTTTGCAAAGTCAAAAAGTTGTTATATCTCAGCCTTTGGAAAAAAACCTTCCAAACATTTCTGTTTCCTGCGCAAATGACAAAACGGGCAGGTTTTCCGGTGATGAAAACATGGACATAACCAAAACTCATCCTGCTGCGTTTGACATTTCTCCTGCCAATACAGTACAAGAATATGAGAATAATTGTAATCAAAATCATGTGATGTCCAAGCAGCTGCAAAGCCAGACCTTCCAGTTTTCGGGTGGTTCTGGTGTAGATATCACAGGTCAGACTGCAGCAAGAGAACGTGGGGATTTGAAAATTAACATAGATAAGCAAACCGTTACTCCTTTGGCTCCAAGTGGTTCATTGGTTTCCAGTAATGAGCCTGTTCCTTCTAGAATGAAAGGAAATGAGCAACTTGAAACAATATGGGGAATAAAAGCCAATTGCCAAACCTCGGACAGGCAAGGGGAAGCCTGTACTATGAAGGGAGTAAACAAAATGTTGTCAACTCGACGAGATTCTGAGAGAGATTTTTCCATCGGTAAAACAGTTCCTTCAGAAGAGGACACTAAAAATCCTCACCCAGTTGGTGGCCTGCACTTGAGGGGTCCTGAAGAGCCGGTACTGGCCAGTACGGCTGGACCACATACGGGAAGATCCCAATTGCCTTCGTTTTTAGAAAAGTCAGTTGTGTTTCCCTCTGGTGAAAACATGGACTTGACTGGAAACTGTGCAGTAATGGTTCCTGATCACAACATCAATGAAGTTTTAGCAGAAAGAAAAGCAGTGCCTGGATACCTTGTTCAAGATGAAAATAAAGTAATGTCCTTAAAAAAAGGGGTCACAGGGACAACTAGTAGTCAGGAGCAGCCTGTGTGCAACATGTACTCCTCAGTATCTGGCAAGAAAATGTTAACCATGACTGGTTTGAAACATTTGCCTTTTCCAGATGAGAAAACAAGGATATTTTCAGATGATGCTGATATGGACATCACCAGAAGTCATACAGTTTCATCAGAGAACAAAGTAGTTTTGCAGTGTAAAAGTCCAAATGATGCCGTATCCTTAAATTCTGGAGATAGAACTTGTGTTTTTACCTACAATGATGACATGGAAATCACTAGACTCGATACTGTTGCGATTGATAAATCTATGGAGAAGGCTGCATCTCAAGGGATGCTGAACACAGCTAGACAGGCTGGAAGGAAAAGCTTGAAGGGAACAAGAGGGGAAAAGACTGTTTTATTTTCAGTGAGCGATGAGGATAATGACATGGAGATCACAGAGAGCCATACGGCTGCTATAGGCCATGAAATTGTCTCACAGAATGAGGCAGGGAGTCATTCTGTCTCTTCAGCTCATCCTGTTAAAACTGTGATGTTCACAAGTACCCAGGCTGACATGGACGTTACCGAGTCTTGCTCTGCTGATAAAACTACTGGAAAAGTTGTACGTGATGATAAACTGCATGTGGATCAGAAGGTTGGACAGCAAGCGCTTCCAAACAGTGAAGCTACTGTGTTTGCAATGGATGATATGGAAATCACTAAAACCCATAGTGCTGCTTTGGAAGAAAATTCTCGGCAAGGTAGGCAACCCGCTCAGTCTGTTCCTTTAAATTCCACAGTGATGTTTACAAGCTACCAGGCTGACATGGAAATAACTGAGGCTCACTCTGTTGCTGAAAGTACTGAGAGAGACTTAGGTGAGGAGAGGTTAAAGCTGGCCAAGCAGGTTGGGCAGGAGGCTGTTTCAGAGAGCAAAACTGTCATTTTTACTTTGGCTGAGGATATGGAGATCACTAAAACTCACACAGCTGTATTGAGAGGTAAAATTGATGTACAGGACAGAGAGTCTGTTCAAGCCATTCCTGCAGTTCCTGCGGATAAAACCGTTGTGTTTACTCACAGTCAAGGTGATATGGAAATAACTGCGTCGCACACTACTGCTGTTAATAACAATATGAGTGGATTTGAGAACCAGGAAGTGTCACATAAAAGCACTCAGCAGCCAGACTTGCATAGTGCGTTGTTGTCTTCTTGCGGAGATGAAATAGATTCTCAGCATGCAGAAGACCTGAATGGTGAATATCGTACAAAATCAAGGGATAAGCCCAGCGTTCCCTCCTCTGCTTCATCAGCCTCGGCGTCTCCTAGTGAGAAAGGACCCGTCAAAGTCCCCAGTGGCACACCACCAGATTCCATTTATTCCGCCTCACTTCCAAAAGAGACTATGGATGTGCAGGAACCACAGGGTCTTGACCTTCCCACGGATAATTCTGTCCCTGTAAACAGCGAGCAGGACCTCATACCGCCAGAAAACCTGGAATCGAAGAGAGTGTCTTTTAAGCTTCCAAGTGACAGTCCCATGGTTTGCAGTGAGGAGAGTGGCGATTTGGTATCCTGTGTTTCACTTCCCATCCAGCAGTCAGATTCTTTGAAGGGTGCTCCAGGTGTACCTAGTACTCAGGGAACCCACGTTTTGAAAGATGGTTCATCTAGACACGAAGGCTTAGCAACAGATTCAGGCTTGGCTGGAGCAAGCCTTGTTCCAGTTTCTAACAAGGAGTCAGAGGAAAATGAGGGGCTGTCAGCTGAAGGTGAGACACCTCCAAAAGACTTTCAAATGAACTCTGAACAAACTAAGCAACTTCTGGTCAGTGACAGACCAAGAGATCAAATAGATCCCACTCTTGCACCCGAATTATCAGGGATTTTAAATGTTTGTTCAAAACTGAAAAATATTAGAAGAAAATCTGCAGTTCTCTCCATTTCTGAAACTGCTTTTTCTGACCAGTTGCCCAAATCATCAACTCAGCCAGAGGATACCTTGAGGTTAGGAAAAAATTCTGCAAATGAACCCAATAATTCACTTCATACCAAAGAGACAGAGAGTACACCTCTTGAATCTGGAGCTGCTCCCGTAGATGCAAATTTAGGCATGGCACTTCAGTATCCATATCAAGGAATAAATATCCCTCTGGGTATCTTCCAGCCTAAATTACCAAACAGAAGAAATCCTTCTGTTTCTAGTGTACAAGACACAAATGCAAACCCCTCAGACAAAGGAGAAGCGCCAGTTTCACAAGTAAGTGTAAATGCTGGTGAAAGCCCAGGTAACAGGAAGCCTAGCAGGCAGGATTTCAGCCCTTCTCAGTTTATAGCAGAAGAATTTCTTCCTGTCTACTTAGAAGAAATGGATTCAAATGAATCTGTAAGCTCTGAACTCATGGAAAATGCTTGCAGTGAGATAAGCAAAAAACAAATCTTCCCCAATGAAAAGAATCAATCTGAAGAGACAAAAACTTGCAAAAGCACAAAAAGAGCTTTGGGACAAGATGAAGAGGATCTCCAAAGTCCAAAGAAGCTGAAGAGGGATGAAAACTTGGATGGTGAGGCCTCCCAAGATTTGCAGGTGAGCCTAATCACTCGTTACAAGGATGCAGTGAACACTAGCAGGACTTCTGTTTAAATTTTGGGATGTTAGGAGATCTGTTGGCAGGTTTTCTTGCTTCTCTTAACCGCCCGTTTGCTGTCATTTTGCTATGTCGCCCCTTGTATTTTTCATGGTTTTGCCAAAACAGAAGAATCAGGTGGATGTGTGCAACTTACCTGAACCATGCAAAACAGGCAGAATAGGGGATTTATCAATTTTAAATAATTCTCTCCATAGTATCTTTTTAATTATTTCTCAACTAAATGTTCTTAGTCCTCTGAACTAAGCTATTTGCTAGTTATTCCTTAGGTACAAAGCAATTATTTAAAATCCAAACATGGATGTTTAGTTTACATTAGCTTTTTTTATAGAGAGCAGAAATCGCAGCTGAAGCAAGAAAATCTGTGCAAATATGGAACATTAATCTGACCTTAGAAATAAGTTTGTACATCTTCAGTAGAAACTTTCTAGTTCCAAAAGCTGGAAGAGGGTGTGCTGTGGTTGCTCCTGCTCTGATTGAGAAATGAATGAAGGATTTTGCAGCTTTACCTCCTTTATGTCATCACAGGAAATGGCCTAACTAGCTATACACTGTTTTGTCATGCTCATTAGATATAAAATGTGCCAATACTAAAAATAAAACAATTCTGGATGTCAAGAAACAGCTACAGTAAACTACTGATCAACTTATATTGTTTCATAGAACTCTTTTAATATATTTTTTTAAACTTGCTAATATTAGGTTACTTTTGGCGCTGTGTCTCAAAGCCAAGCAGAAGTTCATGAAGGTGCAGATCCTCCGTATCTGTCGGCTAAAAGCTCTGACTGTACTCATGCCAGCACCAGCACCAGCAGCTCTCTGGATTCTGTTAAGGCAGACACAGAATTAACAAGTGAGTTTTGTGGCAATAGTCTCAAACTTTGTGTTCTTTACACCTAATCAAGGAACACCCCCACCCATACCATATATTTCATTTGGAAAAGCCTTGAATGCCCGTGTCACAGCTTCCCCCCAGCCAGTCAACATGCTGTTACGTTCTGGCTAAGAGTCCAAGCTGTTCAAGGAAAACGGAGATGGGAAGAAAAAGGAGCAGAACTGAAGTACAGCTGTGGTTTCAAGGGCAGCTTGAGCTGATGAGGCAGTTTAGTTCCCCCTGCACAGAGCAAAGCCCCAGCCTAAAGTCTGCTGCCCCAGAGATGAATTTAGACTGGTTCCATGCAGAATGAGTCTGCGTGGCACAGCATGGCGTTCTTGGAAGAAGGTTCCTTGGGGTGCGTTGCAGAGACAGCCTCCAAGCAGATTCAGCTCCCAGGATTAATTAGCTCTTGCTAATTAGCTGGTACCTAATAATGAGGCAGAAATCTGCTGATCATCTGATAAGTGATATCTTGCCTCTGTTTACAAAACCAATTCCAATTTTGGCCTCCAGCAGTCAAGAAAGCATGTGCCTTGTCGAGTAGAAGCTGGGCTTTTCCTTTGAGTGAGAAACCAGCCCTTGTTGGCTCAGAGCTTGAATGCCATGTTTTTACCTGGAAAGCTTGGTCTCTGTCTACATAGGATGCCCTCTCTGACCTCGTTAGAGTCTCCTTCTCAGTTTTATTACTTCGTAGTATGTTACACATGGCTTTCCTCCCATAGAGAAGTGAACTCTGTCATTTCATTACTGCTCTGCCACAGATTTTATTTTACATTAGATTCTTAATCTAGTCCTCCGCATTTGTCCCAAGCAGTTGTTTCCTCAGTTACTTCATTTGCACTGGAAACACACAGAAAGGTCAAACTCTACATTAAAATTGCTTTTTTTCTAGAGCTAATGAGCTTAGGTTCATATTTCCATAAGAATATTATTAACCCCAGCAATATCCCCCTTTTTTTTTTGGCTAGTTCAGCGAACCAGTCAGGTGGAGTCTCGGCTTCTCACCGATAGCATTTGTGAAGATAACTTACGGGAGGTATGTAAAGAGCTGTAAGATGCTAACTTCCTGTCCTACCAGGAAAAATACTTGTGTGTGTATATGCACCTAAGTGTTCTTGCTTGAAAAATGTACTTATCTATATGTTGTTCCTAATCTTTACAGAAATTTGAGACTGGTGTTATCACAGTTGGGGAGTTTCTTACACTTCTTCAAGTCCATGTTCCCATTCAGAAGCCCCGACGTAGTCATCTTCCAGCCAATGTGAGTATCTGTCCTTTGATAGGCATAATATAATTGACCTTAAATTATATTTCTTTTCCTCTTTTTTAAATTTTTTATCAACTAACTGGTTCGTATGAAAGGCCTTTCAATGAGTTAAGCCAGAAATTCCACCTTGACAAGTGTGTTAGACACTGCATGCTTCCTCTCATCTCTTTGCTTGTTCACTGCTAAGTCTGATGCTTTTTTTTTCCTTCAAACTGAAAAATAGAATACATTTCGATCTTTTCAATAAATACCTCATATTCAGGATTATCTGGTTTTGCTTTTTTAACTTGTTTTAAAAGGATGATAAGTTTGAAAGTAAGAATTGGAAGCTCAGTCTAACCTTTTCACTTTGTCTTCTTACGATGTCCATCAGCCACTGAAATCAGAATCCTGAAATGCTGCTCTGCACTCCTACTACCTGTTGTACTCTCTTCTGCCTGAGTGCTTCACCGTGACATTACTACTCTGTATTTCTTCCCCTCAAGTCTGTTCTGCCTGAACCCAGTTTCAGTATCCTCATCCTGAAAGGTTTCTGTTGAATTCTTGCAGATGAGGGAACAACTTTTTTTTGGCATGCAGTCAAGTATCTCTCACTGGCAGTAGCGTGATGCTGAACTGAATAAAATTTCTGTGTGTCAGCTAAGCAAGAGCAAGTAAAAAGTCTGTCTGTTTTAAAGTTCTTTAAGACTGTTATGATGAAAGAATGAAAACTGATTAAAAAGAATCACAACTAAATTAATATAATTTGTACTGATTAAATTGCTTCCTTTATGACTTCTACATCTCTCCCATTTTCATTGAAAATGCTGTGCTATCTTAGTTACAGTTGAGTTTACACTGCCAGTTTGCGAATTTATTCATACTGATCTGTCTCTAGATATCCATCAGGCTAACAAAACTCTGATAACATTCATTAGTGACCGATCTCTGGTAAAAACCAAACACCACACTCCACCCCCCCCCACCCCAAAAGCCCCTGAAAACTTTCTCTGAAGGGATGACATTAATGTCAGTTATTTCTGTGCTCCCATATATAGGTAGCTTGCTGAAATACCCCCAACGTATTTATTTGATGTGCCTAAGACTTGTTGAAAATTGGGAACATCAATCCTGAATCAAGCATAGCTGTCTGGTTTTATTCTAGAGCACTCTTGTTACCTGGATAATGTACAGATGTTTTTCAAGTCTTCATCTAAAAGGATGTTAATAAAATAGGACCAGACCAGAATGAAAACAATTGTTTCAGTATGTCAGGCTGCTTCCCTTAGTTTTTTTTTTCTTTTCTGTTCTGCAAAAATAAAGATTCTGGGCCTTTTGCTGGTTTCTGTACATTAATTGATTGGAAGTTACTGTTTCTGAAAAAACTGCATCTTTTTTTCTTTTTCTTCACAATCTTTCCCTCTGTTTTTCCCCAGTGTGCAGTCAGTACTCCACCCACTCCAGAAGACCTCATGTACAGCCAATACATTTACCGCCCCAAGTTGCGGATTTATGAAGAAGATTGCCAAGCCCTTTCTCAGAAGATAGATGAGTAAGTGTTTTTTCACTCACAGAGTACATTAGCAATTTTATTTTTTCAGCTCTGGTTGCATGCAAAGTGGCCTGAAGAGAGTTAATACATTTCATACGGAAAAATTAAAAATTATAGTTACCCCACTTTCTGCTGGCAGCCGGTTCATTGCGGAGTTAGATGGTGTAGGGCTAACTCTTGGGGAGGAGTTGTGGTCATGGAGCTAATCAAACTTTTGATTTTCCTCAAGTCATTTAGCTTTTACTAATAGAGTGTTTCAGTTGCACTTCAGAAGAGTAAAACTTTTTAAATTGTACCAAAATGATCAAACATAGAAAGCAGAATTGTAACAGGTTATGATCAGTTGCTTGTTCCAACTTTCCAGTGTTCCTTAGGTTAAAACAGTTATCAAGATTTATTTTCTTATCTGAAGGGCACTTCTGGTCTGGTTCATTATCGCTTTTGCAATTTATGTGAAAAATCAAGTTTTATGATAGCATTCAGGTAAGATACTTCCCAGCCTCATTAGCACTGCTTCCTATTTCTTTGGCTCTCTAGCTCTCCACCTCCTGTTCAGACCTGCCCTCCACAAAGACTATAGGAAGTGAACTTTGTATGATGTGCAGAATTTAACGAAATGGCTCCCATTTCATCTCGGCTTTAGAGGGTCTCTCCAAGATGTAAGACCCAACTAAATGAAAATATTTACATTTCCATGTTTTAACTAGAAAAGGGGAATTAATTGTATAAGTACCAAGGTGCTCCTTTATGTGCTTGGTGCAGCTGCAGCAAGACTTTTTCAACTTTTTTTTCCACATTTCAGGTTAAAAGTGTACGTCGATATGCAGGATCAGCTCCTGGTGAATGTCAATAGGAGTTTGTGGGAAGTGATGAGAACCTGCTCTGATGAAGAGGTAATACTGCATGGAGAGATCACGTTCTTTCTTACCTGATGAAGAAGTAAGGTTAATTTATGTATTGAAATAAAATAAGAACCAGAATGGTGACAGAATAACGGTCAGGTAGGTGATACAAGGCAAAATATTTTCTGAGTGGAAAACTGCTATGAGAACTTCTAATATGTCAGAAGAATGCAAAATATATTAAAGAGAGTGTGTTACTATAAACCAGGAAAATTTGATAATTCAAGTTGATAACTCAGGTTAGTGGAAGGCAGAAAAGAGACGAGAAACTTTGCCTGAGCAAACAGTGTAATTTTGGAAGCTAAAAATGAACTGCTCTTACTGTAGAGAATCTGTTGCTGCTTTGGTGGAGCAGAATTGTCCATTAACTTCAATACTTATTTAGTTCAGAAAGAGAAGTGATGTTGCAAGACATATAATGAACAGAAAATGTCATTACACAAAAATAACACCGCATATGGGATTTAGAGTGAACAATGGTGTCACATGCCAAAACAAAAGATGAGGGCAGAGGGTATTGAAAGGAGAATGCTGATGATTATGGGCACAAAAAAGCAGCCAAAAACATTTCCATTTAAAAACCAAAAGCATTATGAAAGTATCCCAGCCAGAATTGAGAAGGTAGAACAAGAGATTCTGTTTTCTGTGGTTCTACTGCCAAGAATAAAGATCTGTTCAGTGAAAAGAGTCAAAACTGATAAAAGACAGCATTTTTCACCATTCATAATTAGATTGATATAGGATATCGCTGAGGCTAGGTTATTAACTAGATGCAGGAAGAATTATACTGATGAACAATGAAAGCACCTAGACCCCTGAGCTAAGAATAACGAATTTGAAAGGCTATTAAGCAAATCTCTACATGCTGCAATTGGAATGATACCACCTAGTGGAAACAGGCAGATGGCAAACATCGTAGAAAAAAGCTTTTTGTAGATTCCTCTGCAGCTTCTGGATTGACAGCTGTCAGAGAAAACATTGAACTGCATGATCTGTAGCTATGGTCTGATAAAACAGGTTTTAAGTTTATTTCTTCTGGTTTGGGTTCTGCCTGGACTTCAGTTAGCCTCCTTAACTGTCGTGGGGCAAGTGTTCTGAGTATGTCTCAAACTGGGATGAGAGCCGTCTGCTGTACTCAGTGAGGGTGCTCTGGTTTGTGGTAAAAGCATCTCTTTAGCTACTTGTGCAGCTCCCTATTTGAGTGAAGATCTTGTTGGATCTTTGCAAAGAAAATCCGTTACTTTAGTAGGCAACTCCACTTGAATTCACAGGGATTATCCAGTCTTAAATTTGATTTAATTTGCAAGTGTCATGTAATGCGGCTACTAGAGAAATGGGATATTGGGAGGAGCAGAGAGGGGAGAAAGAATCTAACGGGTCGATTGAACAATCTTTTGTTGCGCGTTCCCATTCACTTTCTCTTTTGTATTATCTGTTCATTGCAGCTGCAGAGCTTTGGAGCAGAACTGAACAAAATGAAATCCTGTTTCAGCAAGGAAAGTAAAATCATGGCTCACAACGAGAAAGCGACATTGTACAGCAAATTGCTGCAGAGCACGCAGGTAACGTGCCACAAGGCTGCAGAGGTTTAGCTTTAAAAAGAGGAATTGCTGCTGTATTTCATCCGCCTTTGACTGTCCATTGTAGAAGCCTAATTATTGTACATAAGTGTGCATTCTCTTGAAAGTTTCCTTCTTATTAAAAGTACTTCCCTTTTCAAATGTAAAACACATTGGGACAGTGACGTTCTCGCACTTATGCTATACAACCCTTCTGCCTAAGGGTTTTGACAATTAAAGTAACAGTGAAAAATAGGAGTATTAAAGGAAATGCCATCAGAAATTATCTCATTATACTGTAGCAATGTCACTATGAGTAACTAACAAGGAAATGCGGAAGCAATGCATTGTGATAGGTATCAGAAATTTGTATGCATTAAAAGCTCTAGGAATTTATTTGTTTCCATGTCTTATCCCTTCGTAAGAAAAATCATTAAGAAGAAACATTGTTAAGTATCTAGTTCTTTCTTACGCACGGCTACTGCCTTAGTGTTTGTCAGTCTGCCTCTTCGTTCTAACGACAGATTAAATCAGCTTTCTTGAGTTTCTTAGCAAGCAAAGATCCACATGGTGATCCCAGAGGACAAGTCAGCTTTTAAAAACAGTCACTGACCTGAGTACAATTTTCCCATCTTAGGAACAACAGGAAAAGCTACAGTCAAGAATGGAAAAGCTGGATGAATTAATCAAGGAGGCAGAGAGCTGTCTGGTTTCTCTGGAAACAGGTATGTGTTTCCAAACCAGTGACCAATATGCTGGTTTCTCTATTTTCCTGCAGAGCTGCTGTTTAAATGGTCAGTTCAAGTTTTGTGTGTGGTGGTTGCTTGGAATTTTACAATTCCTTTGTTACAAGTATCATTTAGGCCTAAATGCCTTCACTTGTGTCTGCAAACTTGTCTCGTGGGAATCACGCACGCATTGGATGAGGACGAGGAGTGTATCTGAAATACAGAATTATAATTGTAGCCTATGAACATGTAAGCAAGCAGGCTAAATCTGCTAGTGATAACAGCACAGCTGCTGGCAGCACGCACTTCAAAGGGGCTGCAAAACCTGCCAGCGATCCTGCAGGTAGGCGAGGCTAAGCCCGGCACTCCGGGACCGTACTTGTATCATCATCTCAGCCGTGTTCACACAAGCTGCAGTCAGTGCCTCGCATTGCTGCAGAACGGTGCTCTGTGTAGTTTCACTTCCTTTCTTCCAACTGAATTTTCTTCCAATGGCTTGAGTAGAAATCAAATTGCACAGCAGCAGCTTTGAAACAACGCAATTAAAGGAGTTCTCCTTGTTATCTGTTACTTTTTTGATGTTTTTGGTAGATACCCTTACGGCTTTTTTGTACATTTTTCTTAGTTAACTTTGAAATACTAAGATTTATAGAACCCACAGACAAATAAAATGGAATCTAAGTGTTGAATCTGGGAGTTCTGCAGAGACCTGATACTTCTTTCCCATAGATTCCGACTGGGAAGACTGGGAAGCAGACAGCAATGATGAAATAGCAGAAGGGAAAACCCTAAAGGAAGGTAACGGTACCAGCTGAATGGCACTTTTTGGTTTTGTGGGGTTTTGTTTTTTGTTTTTTAATTCTGGAGAGGGTGATACTCAACCGCCACCCTGCTACATTAATTCTGATACGGATGCGAACACTACTGCTTTCTTTTCTGCATTGGATATAGCTAATTACATAGATGTGTATGAAAAGGACTGGCTTTTCCCTGGAAAAATGGAGTTCAGAGCTTGGTACAATGTGACTTCAAGAGTGTGTGCTGGCTATCGTATTCGGCACTTTGATTGTTCAATAATTGTGAACCTTTGGCTGCATACCTGTGTCCAGGGAGCAGAAGCAGCCATCAAGTTGAGCTCTTCCATATTGTGAAGAACAGTAACAGCACAGCAAGTCAGGGCTTTCTCTGCTGCTCTCTTCTCTAACAGCTTTTTTCCCTTTCCCTTAGCACTGGAAAGTGTCCAAGCTGAAGAAGAGGAACTTCAAAGGTAAGATGTCAAAGAGGATCTAAAGACCTTAAATAACACGTGAGCATTCAGGGTTTAGAGGGCTGGGGATTCTCTAGCCAGTGTGCTCCATCTCACATGGTTGGTTTGTCTTTGCAGAGAATTGTCAGACCTGGAGACTCAGAGTGAGCAGATGCTCGCTGAGATGAGCCAGCTACAGGAAGAAGAAAAAAACTGCTGGGAAATCGTGGAGAGATACAAGTAAGGAAAAGACCTTCAGATTTCATTTTTATAATCTAGTTCTGGGGCTGCACTTTTGTATATGAATGTTTTTGGGTTTGTTTTTCCTTGTTATTTGATTTGGGAAATCTTTGGATGCCTTGCAGCCTAGGACAAGCACTAAAGCCACAGTGAACTTCTGTGTGGGATGCGCTGTTTTTCTGTTAACAACTTTGCAGTGACACTTTGCATTCAGTCTTTCTATATCCCAACTCCAATTTCAAAATGAACATCTGTGTAAAATTAACATTATTATGGTTGCATTCCCAACAGATTCTTGCATTCTGTTGGAAAGTGAAAATTTTGTGGGTCTATTATGTGGTAACAGCTGCACATGCGCTTAATACTCTGCTCTTTGTCCTTCAGATAATTGTGTTGGTTGGTTGAAACTTAGGGTGACGGTGTTTTTCCCCCCACTTTTTAGCTTCATGGAGTGGGAGATTACAGAATGGAGTGAACAGCGGGCAGTCTTTAGTTTTCTTTATGATTCTATTGAACTCACAGTTGTGTTTGGACCCCCAATAGGTAAGTTGCAAAATTGGTTTCAGTTTTTACGAATTTGAAAGATGAAATAATTAAATAATAGAAACATAAAGTTTCTGTATTTGTGGAGATCTGCTAAAAGGTAAACGTACTGCAGCAGGAGCGTGTAAGCTGAGGCAGGTGGTTTTGAGTATGTCTCTCAGTGCTTTCTATGAAAATTCAGAAAAGAAAATTCATGTAATGAATGGCTGCTTCTGAAGAGGAATTGCTGTAACTCCAGAACTAAGTATGGACGTAACTACCATTTGGGTTTTTTTTCCTTTCCTTCTCAGATGGTGATGTTTTTGGTGAAGATCCTTCCAGAAAGATAGTTAGCCTGGACTTTGAATCTCTCTTGGATGGTAAGATTTTTTGAATAGCTTGAAAGTAGCTGCCCTGATAGTCTGTTCTTGGGAAGATATCTGTACATTTGTGGTTTATCTGCTAGTGCATTGCTATATGGGTTTTAAAAGATTTTTGGCAACATGTATGTCTCCTGTATTACAGAGGAAAACGCTCCACCCTCCTCACGTTTAGTCCAAAGACTCATCTTCCAGTTTATTGAAAGTTGGGGATGCTGGCAGGAGAAGTGTCCCACGCTGAACTACTTGCCCCAGGTAATGTTCCTGGAAAGCCTCTAAGACTCTGGAAAAACATTAAATCTTTTCTGTCACAGAGAGTAGGGCTGATACTGAGAACAAAAGCATCTTAATGAATGCTTCATCAATGCAAATCAAAATCTGCTTCATGTGTATTCTGAGGTGCCGGGGAGGTGCCTGTCCCTGAAGGCAAGAGTCATAAAAGCTGTGGTTTCTTCCTGGTTTGCTGCATTAATGTCTGCCTGGTGTAGTGATTTCTTAAAATCCCTTTTTTTTCTGCTAGTAGAAATTAAAGAACTGAGTTGAATGCCATTCTGCTTCCTAAATAATTCATGGTTTAAATTGCCAAGCCAAACTTGGTGTTCCTGCATGTCTGTGTGCCCCTGGTGACAAAGCTGGAGGCAGACACTCAGGGCAAAGAGCGTTGCTATGCGTGTACAATTGCATTTTCACATCCAAACTGAGACAGCAGTTAAACTACTTTTTTTTTAATATATTTTCTGGGATAAACAGCATTTTCAAGTGTCACGTAGTTTAGCAGCCCGAGTGCTGATGTGATTGCTTTTCTGAATGCCCACTTAGGTTCTTCATGACGTCTCTTCGGTGGTGAGTCGTTGCAAGGTCTTAGGAGAGGAGATTGAATTTCTGGAGAGATGGGGTGGAAAATTTAATCTTCTGAAGGTGGATATCAATGACACAAAGTGAGTAACTTCAGAGGGAGTTTACACCAGTCCTTCAGAGAGTGTTTCTAGATAATCAGAAGCAAAATAGTGAAATATTTTCAACTTGGTTTTCTTGAAATTGAGATTTTATGCAACTACTTTTAACAACCATCTAATTTATTTTAATACAATTGCTCTATACTATCCAAATGTATGGAAATTAAGCTGTTCTTCGATTCAGCCACTTCCTTACTGTCTCATAACCTCTCCTTCCACGCTGCTTTCCTGTTTGACTTAACTCTCTCACTTAAAACTTTAGACCAGAGTCCAGCAATGCAAAGGAAACAGAGGCAAGAATTTACCTGTAGCTTAGTGCTTTGTTTCCTTTAATGTTCTGTCTGCTTCAGCCAAACAGGATCAGCCACTGAAGGACAGATCTGCTTAAACAAAAGTTTATTTTCTTTAGTTTTCATTTTCTCATACTATTTCCCAATTTTGTGGCACATAGGATAAATACCACTTCACCTTCTCCTTCTGTTACTGATGTATATCCATAACTAAGCGCCAGTCACCTTCGCTCTGTATGCCTCAATGCTAGGTTATTCTAGTTTTGTAGTACCCTTTGCAAGCTGCTACCTGCCAAAAATCCCCTAAAAGCTATATTTAGTAGAGTCCACAAAACAGATGCAAGGGCAGGCTGTGCTCAGGAAACTGCAAATTGTGGGAGATTTACCTGGAAAAGGCCTGTATCGTGCTTGTTCTAGCCCACGCTATCCCAAAGCATCTGCTTCCTGTGCATTGTGTCCTTGGTGATGCTCTTACCCATATTTATGATAAAATTCAACTCTGGCGTTCCTGCACATTGTCATAGCTAGTAGTACTGCGCTGGATGGAAACTTGGCCTGATTTAAATAGGGGCAGATTCAGGAAACAATCTGAGAAAAAGTTCTTTTAACCTTATTTATGAAGTTACTGTTAAGTTTCTGCTGGAACTCTTTAGAAGTTATCAAACTTGCATCAATTGCATCACTTGTTTTCACTTGTGGAACCTACTTCAAAGGTAGTAGCTCTACATTCAGATATTTAGTATTGACCTTTCTGTTTGTGTTTATTTCACATACAGAGTGAAGCTTTTGTTCTCCGCTTCCATGGCCTTTGCCAAGTTTGAGCTGACGCTGTCACTAGCTGCCAACTACCCATCTGCTCCACTGCCTTTCACTGTCCGGAAACAAATCGGGAATATTGGGTGAGTTGAAGAGAAAGATCCACTCCATATGACTTAAGTTTCAAAGCTGGGGATGGGGAATTAAATGCTCCGTATCCTCTCAAACACGTGTGATAATTTTATCCTTCCCAGGGAGGAGGAGATTGCTGCTGTTCTCTCTAACGTACCAGTCGGTTACCACTATCTGCGGAGAACAGTCAGCTTGATTCATCAAAATCTGCTCCAGGATCCCAGATGATTCCCTAGATCCACAGGCAGGACTGAAGAAGTCAGACTGGACATTCTTTTATTTCAGCCTTGTACAAATTCAAGCTCTCACCGGAATGGGAGTGCTGGTAGCTACTCAGCTCTTTAGTAATCTTGTCTAAGAATGGGTTGATATCCAGGATGCTTGGTGTAGGCCACAAGTTTTTATAAAAGCAGAGGTGTCTCCAGAGGAGAAGGAAGAATTTCTTGTGTCTCTTAACAAATCCAATCTGCCTTTTGTCTTCTTGCAGTCGTCTTGCTCAGTCTTGGCCTCCTTGTATATGTAGGCTTTCCTAGTGTGGATATTCTGACATAGCCTGTTAATTTGCTTCTGGGTTGATTTGGAGAGCTCTTGTACAACACAATGATGAGTGTTTTCTAAATTAACATGACCGGAACGTACTTCCACTATCATTACTTCACTGCTGTGGAGCATTTTAACGTATCACGTCACATTTTATTTTTATCAGTTTCCTGGAACCCCTCCCAAAACACAGACACGATTCTCCTGCTTCTGATTAACCAGATAACCTGTAATAATTAACCAGGTGGCCAAAGTCAGAAATACTTTTGTCATGAAGACTAAAGATCCCTGCGCTTGAGCATGGACTTTGCCGTGCAACAGACTCAAAGCCATCAGGTTCCACCCGTGCGATCCTCTCCAACCAGAAGCCTGTTCCGATGGTCAGTGTCTGCCCAGTACAGTCCGTCTCTGGGCTCTGGTTCGCTGTCTGAGTCTGTAATGCGTTAGAATTTAGTGAGGAGACTGAGCTCTTACCATCTAGGCGGTATCGGCAGTACGGCTGGTGCGGGCTAGACTGCTTTTGTATGTATTTTGTTTATTATGTAGGTTGAGCTGTGGGACTGACCTAGCCCGGAGTTTATCGTGCAGCAGTGCCTACTGTTTCTCAGCTGTCCGTTCCGTAGGCAGGTGCAAATTTTTGTGTCTCTGTAAAATATGTTGGTTTAAAATGTTTTCATGTGTTTAAGTGTTTATATATTTTTGTCTTTTTACAAATTTTCCTTCTATTTAGAAGGTGGAAGTTCATTAAACATTTGAATTCTTGCTCTTCCTTCTTCAAGTTGTGATTATTGGCTGCTCTGTTGAAACTTGTGACTCAAAATTTGCCTACTGCCACTGAAATAATAGAATATAAACTAACAATAGCAAACATCATATAAACTTCATGGGTCAGTTTTTTTCCTTGCATTGCCTAGTGTTAGCTTTCAATGGCCTGGTTTTTGCAGAATATTTTTTTTTCCATTTTTTTTTAATTAGGAAAATAGTGCCGAAGTTGCAAATGACATGGGTATTGTACCTGGAATGAGCTGTACCTTTCGAAGGTCGTTGTATCAGAGGGATTAACCAGCAGAGGCTGCTGCAGCAGCACCGCACCAGCATTAGCCACCCTGGGCTTGTTCGATTTTTCTTTCAGCGTCCTTACAAGCTAGAGATAACTGTGAAGACTGAAGTGAGTTTTGGGTGGAGTTTATTGTGTTGCTCTGGATATTGAATCCAAGTAGCAGATGAAACAAAGCAAAACAAAGCCATGCATTTGCAGTAGAAAAAGGGGATTGGGCAGAAATTAGGCAGTTCCAGTTTTATATTTAATTTATATTTGTACTTGACACTTATTTAAACTCCTCTCAGGGCATTAAGACTTAAAGATCATTACATCTGTCACCTATGGGACTTGATGTATTACTGTTCAACTCTTCAGAGAGACAACAGATTTGCAAAAACTGTATTATTTTGCAAGCCAGGTTTTGGTGAGAATGCCATTACTAAAGCTTTTCACACACAGTGCTTGTTGTAACCATTGCTCAGTCATAAAGCTGGATCTCTAATATTAGAGAACTCTTATTTCCTTAATTACCTTAATTTTATTTTTTAATGAGTCAGGATACAGCTCACACAAGGCATGGCAGTACGTACAAACCTCAGGTGTGAGTCCGTCCTTCCTCCTGTGCTGTCAGGGTCCTCTCTGAGCTGCTCACAGACCTTTTTGAAGCTAGCTTTGTAAATACTCTCACATATTTAATGCTAGGCTGGTACCTCGTTAAAACCTGGCGTCCCTTATCTTGGCACGACACTCCTGAGAGCTTGCCAGCACTAGAATGAGTTTAATAAACACTTTAATGAAAAGCATAAAACCTGCAGCTATTTCTAACGCTCCCGGCCCCCCGCTGTTGTGATGATGCCGCTTTGTCTAGCGTCAGAACAGTTTCTCGATAAAATGATACTGCTGCGTTTTGTCCTAGTGCTTGGTGCTAATCAAAGCGGGGGCTGGAGGAATTCCTTGTCGATCTCGCTCAGCTGAAGAGATGAAAACCCTGGGGAAAGGCAGATTTTCCTATTTGGCGTTACCCTTCCTTGCCCCACAGAAAAGGAGCGTCTCACCCAGTATTTTGCTTCCAGGGCTGGAAGAAACTTTTCCAACAGGGACAGAGGTGCCACTGGGCTCCCCTAGCTTCCTCTCCTAACTCCTGAGTGAAGTTGCAGCGTATAAAACGCTTTTGGTATTTTAACCGATGCTTTTATCTACGCGAAGGGCTTTCACTGCCCAACAGGGATTTGTCTATAGCTGATTTATTTTTGTGGCAATGCCCAGGAAATAACGCAGACAGTGCTTCTAAGCGATGAAAACAGGCTGAGAGGGGGAACACCCTCCTCCAGCCATCTCCGTGCCCCCTGGTTCTCC